TGCTCTCCCAGTGGGAGATGAATCTTATGGACAAACTCAGTTACCTGTCTGCTTCTGAGACCAGAGCTCTGCTGTGCAAGTACTTTGACAAGGTCTGTGCAATGCTCAACATTCAGCTGTTTTTTGTTACCATGTTCTCACCTACTTCAGCATTGCAAAATGTGTTTATTTGTATCTTTGAGGCTTTGTAACAAGCTGACTAGTTGGTTACACTACACTGATGCAATGTAAACATCAATAACATTAAACGACCAATTGGAATGGAAACACTTGTTCACTCTTTCATAAAAAAAAGCTGAGCGAGGTGTCAGACCTTATGACTCTTTATGTCTGAACTCATCAGTATATCAGCTAAAGAGTGTTGATGCTTCCTGCAGGTGGTGACTCTGCGTGAGGAGGAGCGTAAGCTACAGCTTGCGCTGGCTGAGTTGGAAATGCAACTGGATGAGCAGCAGAAGCTGGTGCAGTGGCTGGAGAACGCCCTCGATCGCACACAACTCGACACAGATCGCCGGCTCACACAACAGCAGAAGGAACATGAGAGGAGTGTGCAGCTCCTACTGCAGCAGTGTCGAGGTGCAGAACTGTTTATCTGTTATCTCAAACTAAAAACAAGGGGTGCCTGCAGGTGTATATGTGGCTTGCGCCACTTCAAATATATTATAAATCCCACACTCTTTGGTCTACACTGGATATAGTTTAGATTTAAGTTGTTAACCATTTTAGTTAGAATATCTTCAACATTTTATATATAAACAAGTTGCTGGATTATTTTCATAATCATCTCATGAAAGTGATTCTCCTGGGTGTCCTTCCGCCTCCACAGAGCAAATAGACGAGGGCCTGGCAGGCAGGCAGCGGCAGTATGAAGGATGGATCCATAACCTCAGCAAGGAGCTGACTCACTACAAGACGGCAAATCTGGAACTAAGCAACAAACTGAGGGAGCTCTGTGGTTCAGGCAGCCAGCCAAAAGACCTTGGTAAAGGTAGAAGTGTTATTAGATAAAAGTGTTATTTTAATATTCATGATTATCATAATCATTTATTTACACACAAGTGTACATCATCTGACATCCTATTGTTTTTGTTCAGATATTTAAGCCCTCAGATCTCCATCTCAACATTTGTTTTGTCAATAAGCTTTGAGTAAACTCCAAATAGTATCACTCAAGTCTGTTGGGTAATTCTCACTATTAAGATTAATGTTTTCCGGCAACTCTAACTCTCCTTTTGACATGTGTTGTCTTTCCGTTGTGACATCTGATGGTAAACCAACAGGCATTGGCAGCATGGAGAAGCTGACCCGCTGCCCTGAAAACAGTCCCGGAGGCAGGGGGACGGGCCAGTCTGACAAACCTTCCAGGTCCAGGGAGGAGATGCGTGAGCTGGTGAACACCCCTCTCCCGTCCACGTGGAGACGCTCCTCTCTCCCTACAGAGGAACCTGCTGTCATGGAGGAGTTATGGCTTCAAGCAGCTGGGGAGGTTCCTGCTAACCGTGTAGTTCAAAGTGGTACGGGGTCCTGGGGTGGGCCGGCATCCCTGCCTGTGGTTAAGTCTCGCAGAGAGTCCCGCCGCTCCAGCCTCAACATCGGACCACTGACTTCAAACAATGCATTAATTGATGTGCGGAAGAATCCCGTCTGAACATAAATGTGTTGTGCTACTTAAGACCATTCACATAGATCTTTATTATGTTTCTGAAATATTTTTACACTAGCGCTCTTTAGTTTCTGCATTTCATTTTTTGTACTTGTATAAAAAAACAAATGTAATACACAAGAAAACCTGCTGATTTCAATATGAAGCACTTTCAGTAAGGTAAAGTTTATGTATCCGTGTCATTGGTAGGTCTATGGTCTGCCAACCATGAAAGTCAACAAGGTAAATAACTTGCGTCATTACAAAATGATCCTCTCTAATCATGTAGCCTTTTTACCTTCTACAGTATTTTATATTAAAATGTTTTTGCCACTCACTTTCGTCTGGTGTTTTTTTTTTTTGGGGGGGGTTTTTTCTCTCCATGATTGATTTCTTCCACAACTTGAGAACCAAGAATCGGGAAATGATTCTTGACGTTTGTTCTGTAATCCTTTTTTAAATCGATGGTCAGTTCACAGCTGATGTAGATGAGGCTTGAAAGTTGCTGTGACATGTCAGATTAGTGTACGTGTGGTGTTGGTTTAAATGCAGCCTCAGTGGGTCTTAATTTGTCACACAGTCTGTGTTTTTTTTAAACCATACTCTACTAATGGTTTATGACAGAATACATTCATCAACATCTGAAAAGGAAGCGTGGAAATTGGATTAAGTTCAGTCGACTTTGAGACGATCACCGCCCAGACAAAACGCCACCAAACTGCCCCAGGGAGGAGAGACGAGATGGAAGCCAAGTTAAACCAGCTAGGACCAAAGGCTGCTCCACTACCCGGTCTCCTGCTGGCTGTCTGATGCCAGGTGACTGTTGAGCCCACATCTTCAGAGACCTGGCTCCATCGTTCATCCCGGATCAAGCTGCACTTTGACGGACGGAGCGCAGGACTCCAGAGGGACGAGGGGAGGTGGACTCTGTTTACGCCATAAGCATGGTGCCCAAACACAGTCAAAGTTGATGGACAATGTTTTCCTCATTTTGAGTTTTTAATGTGAAGATGTCGGCCATATTATCTGCCCAGAGAATTGTTTTTGTTGCAGCTGTTTACATTACTTATGATGCAAATTCCAAAAAATGTGCTACAGGAATGTTTGTTTTGTTTGTCACCTGTTTGTTGTGTTACAAATGGGATACAACTGAATTTCGTTGTGCATCCCTGTGTTGCAAAATGACAATAAATGATCCTTGAATCCTCTTTTGTTCTTTTCTAACAGTATATCATGGTGTTTTTATTACTTTTTTTGACATACTATACTTTAACTTTTATGTTTTTTGTTTAACATATACTTTACTGTCATTTTATTTGATATATATCACTTTAGTCACTTTACTGTGACTTTTTAATGATTTTTTAAACATACTATGACTATAAGATGACTAACACACCACATTGTTGTTGGTTTTTTACTTCTTTTGACATGTCTACTTTCAGCTTTTTTGGCATTAAATATCAAATACTATACTATGACTTTTTAATGATTTTTTAAATATACTGTACTATGACTTTTTTTTACATACTGTAAGATTACTTTTTTAACACTTTATTAGGTTTGGTTTATTTACTTTTTATGACATATTATACTGTCTATTTTATGATTTATTTAATGTACTATACAATTATTTATTTTTTTACATAATGTAAAGTTACTTTTTTAACACAGTATACTTTGGTGGTTTTATTACTTTTTTCGACATACTATACTATGACTTTTGACTTAAAGGATGATTATTCCCCAAAAACAATTAAGACAGGCTTTTAGATCTGTATTTACATGGAGCTTCATTTGTTGCATCTTCTCAATAGCTCAATTCATCTGTCCTGTTACATACAAGTGGAAGACAAATCAGCCAGGACAAGACAGGATCTTTCTTTTAACAATCATCTCCCTACATAATGGAGTATAGAGCAAATCGATCTTGTGAGGTAGGAGTGTGTAGACACCATCTGAGCAGAAGAGGGCGGTAGTGTGTAATATTTCTGTACTCATCTCATGCGCAGTCATTTTTGTTATTATCTTACTTTCCATGAACTGAAACTTAGATTCTTCATAAAATATTTGACCCTTTAAAAACAAACCAGATTAAGAGTTCAAGTGATATTGCTGATTTGGGGCAGATATACAGGAGTGAGCAATACATTCATTCAATTGAGCTTCACGCAGATGAGGGAATAACGATTTTGGATTAATCTAATAAATTATAAATGCTTGTGGTGCTGGGGATGGCTAAGCAGAGAATCATTCCAGAAAGAGAGCAGCATTTTATTCTGGGACAGAGATTATCCAGTTTATCTGTGGGGAACGGCTGGTTTCAGGACTCTGAACACTATGTAACAGAGCAGGTGGGGTGCAGGGTATCTTGAAGTTGATTTGTGTCCTAACTGCGTCGTGTTCATCCTAAAAAAAAAAGCTATTTAAGTGACTAAACTAAACCTGAATTGTTCTGAGCGACAAGCTTCCCTAATGCAGGAGGAAAAAGTGAATCTCCTAAGAAGTTTTGAAATTATGACTTGGACAGTGTAAAATGGAACATTTCACCAACAAAACCACCGTTTATCATGGCCCATAAAGCAATGTAATTGTGTTTATTTAACTATGACTACTCTGGTGAAGTATAGAGCAAAGTCTTAGTGAGCTGGTTAACTGTTTTGTATCTTGTCCCTATAGACATGAGAACACAATTTTACACTACACTAAGTCAGAGGTGACCTGATACACGTTTCTAGCACAGGGCTAAAATGCATATCAGTCAATAGTTGCTGGTGTCTTGAGCTGTAAGATGTTTATGAGCTAACTGAGAATAACCAACGAGTTATGGCTTAGAGACACACAGCACTGAACCTAATTGTCTGACACAGTTTTTCACTACCACAAAGGGAAGGAGGGGGGTCCAGACTTTTTTAAATTCTATATATAGTGGCTTTGAATATAAAGTTTATGTATACATTTTTTAATTCTTCAATGAAATTAAATTTATTTTGTACAACCCAAAAATCACAGTTTGTCTCAGAGGGCTTTACAATCTGTACAACATACGACATCATGTGTCCCAGGACCCAGGCATCGGAACAGTATACCATCTTTGGAATCAATGAAAATAATCCAAACTAAAACCACTTGAGCTATAGATCATGAAAAACAGAATGAAACGTATCAGCGGGCTACAGTTCTATTTGGTTCCTGCTCCACAGAGTTAAAACAATGCAAGCTACATCGGAACATCGAACACACACACACACGCGTGGGACCACATGCGATTGGTTATCAGCAACTTGGCGTGGGTGTGACGTCAGCGCAAAAGGAGGAGGAGGCATTTAGAAATAAGGCAGAGAGGAGGTGAGAGCATATCACTGGAGGCTCCATCAGAGGACGCAGCGCAGCCTCAGGACCTCTCGGACTGAAGGAAGACACTCGCTACACACTGCAGATGAAAGGCCGGCCCGTCCCACATCTCTGCGCTCATTTGCTCGTGCACGGACCTGCAGAAAAACCCTCCTGATCACGGATACAAACACACAATTCAACGAGGATATCGCACCCAAAACCTACCGCGAAACCCAGCCTCGGCAGAGGGTGTGGGATTTATCGATCTGATCCACGCGCTCACCTGTTTGTCAGAGCGAGGCTGCACGCAAAGTCAAGTGTCCTGCACATCTGGAGCCTGAACGATGCTACCGACCGTCCTCGTCACCACATGTGGATGTTTTAGTCTCCATGGACACAGGATGCACGATGTGAAAGTGAGTCTTTTGGCTTCAGTCGTCCTGTTCATTGCATCTACATGCATGTTTTTAATTAAGCCTAATGCATCTCAGTCTCAGCATGCAGATGAATCGGCCTTATACACATTTAAGACCAGGATATAGACATTCTGCATTCATTTAACCGTGTTGTATTCAAGTCTAATGTTTCAAAAATGTTTCATAATCAAAGCCACAACCAATAGATAAAGTCATAGTGGGCTAGAATGTCTACATTTCTCGCATTAAAATCACACATGGAGTAAATCTATAAGATATGCTACTGTTTGATAAAGACATTAAGGTACTTATTCTAACAACGAAGCTTCAGGCCTGTTTAACCAAGAGCCATTCACAAACCCTCCAGTAGACTGAGTCAATATAGAGGCAACTTCAAAACCCACAGTGCGAGATTTATTAGCCTAATATTTCCTGTCACACACCGTCTTCAGTATCTTGTCCTTCGAATATGTTGATTTATATAAGGCTATCATAATTGCAGTAATATGTGTGAGAGTTTTCTCCTATACAAAGAAAGTGACGCTTGCTGTGAGTGCATTTACTCCCCAATTAAAACGACTGACGTCAGACGTACTGACTAAGAAAAGCGTGAGTTCATCACGAGGTTATTTTGAGTTAGGGTATATATTATAATAATAATATGAGAATTCTAAGAATTACTGGTTATTTCAATTGTAACAAAATGTATTTGTGATATTAATTGATATTATTGTAGCAGCGTGTGGTTTTAAAAAGGGAAGAGTTTGATAACAAATGGCACATTCAATAAATTACAAGGCACAAGCACTTATAGGCCTATGGCCCCTGAAAGTGTCCACAACCCAAAGATTTGTAATAGTATTGTTAAGCAAAGCTTTGATGAAGAAATATCATGTATGGAAATGTCAAAGGCCGGTTCCCTTCTCAGAACAAAGCAGGGGAAGCTTTCTTGAAGATTTGAAAAGTGTGGGAGGCAGAGACTGAAAACTAGATATGTACATGTTGTATTGTTTAAAAGTAGCAATGTAAAGTGCAATAAGAGCTGACAAAATGCTTGTCAACAGCCACATATACTGTCAATCTACCCCACCTTTTTATAATTTGTTAGCTACTGTATTTGCCTAAAGTTTGAAGTAATTACAGCTATCACATACAGTCTGCAGGTCCCTCTGTGACTGACAGAGGGATAGAGCATTTGAATGTATTGAAATTAAAATAAATAATGCATTTCTATTTGATTGAAAGGCATGAAAAAGTTTGTTTCAGTTGGTAGAAATTTTAAGATTAACTTAAGACAAACATTAACTCCATTGTACCTTTCTTTGTTCCTAGGAAGCTTCAGACTTACCTTTTGCTGTGACAGCAAACAACGGATCCTGTTCCTGTCTTTGGTTATCTAGCTGTATGAGTGTTAATCCTCCATCATAAAGCTAGATAACCGAAAGTAGGAATGGCCTCCAAACCCTCAGCTTCCTGCGACACCATGTATTTTGAGGTGGGTTATGAAACACTAAAGTTTTTTTAATATGAAAATTTAAATAACTCACAATTGGAGCTGCAACAAGTAGCAGATTAAGTTGAACAAAAGAGAAACAATCAGCGACTATTTCAACTTATTCTTCATTCAAAAATTGTTCCCATTTCCAGCTTCTGATGCTTTTCCTAATCAAATGAGACAATAAATGGAGAATCTTTGGATTTTTTAAATAGTTTAAGGCATTATTTACTTCATTTTCTGACAATTTATACCAATTCAATTATTTGTTAATTAAATATATATATAATTATTAGTTGCAGGCTAATGCATCAAACATCTAAGTCTTATTATTTTAGTTTCTTAAACACTTATGTCCACATGTCCCTCTTAGTGATTTAATAAATATCTCATCCAATAAATGTAATTTGTTGGTTTCTTGTGAGTCTTTCAAATACCAATTATTAGTCCAAGTCCCACTTTAATTTACTTCAATTGGAAGGCCGGAAGCAAATAAGATTTCTGATACTATCAGCTCGAATATTTACGTTTCTGTCTGTGAGATTTTACTCATAAAACAACAGAACTAACTTTCCTGAAGGATGTTTTCTGTCTCCTGAGACCACAGGGGAACATGGGAATAATTATTTAAACAAATCAGACACTTTCCAAAAGGGCCCCTGCTTAATCTATTCAAACAAATGAATGTTTCTGTCCCGCACTTCCTTTAGACACAGACTTTTGATACCCGATGCATCGTAGTTCTTGCTGTTGAGTTGTCCCCAAAGCCTCTGTTGAACAAACATTAAAACAATGAAATACACTAAACCAAGTTCACTCTGGCTCAGTGTTGCTATTGCTTTGATAAACTCAAACACTTTAAATCAAATCTATAACTTCCATTATAAGTTTAAACATAGATATTATTCTTTTCACAATTGAAATTCTTAAAATTGCATTAAATCATAAATGTCTTTGCATAATTGTATCAAAACAGGTGTCCCTCTTTTGCTGCTTTTAACCACAGTGCACAATAGATTTATCATTTCTGATTGTAAACCAGAACTCACATTTTAAATATTTTCACTGTGAAAAAAATAACACAGCTTCCCAAACCCCTGTCCTGCATTTATGCAATAAAATATAATATTAATTCCAAAAACTGGTCCAAACTGTGAAGCAAGGCAACAAAAGGAAAGAAAACACATCATTTCATTTTGAATGACACAGAATGTTTTAATGTAATTGCAGGCATTATTTGATGTACAGACACAGATTATCCAACAGTTATATATACTGCCAACAATTTCACAGCAGGTTTTAGAAATGCAAAGGAAATCTAAAAACATTTTCCTAAATCTACATGGCCATCGCTGTGGTCTTCTTTACTCTGAAATAAAGGCCTGCGTCAAATATTGCAGGTCAGCCTCCTTCACTGCCAAAACATCATGCCGTCTACATGGAAGCCATCTTGAGGGAGTCTCCCTGCTGCCTCTAAAATGGTTGTGTTGGCACATAGCAGGGCGCTTTAATTGGTCCATCGTTAGCTGTCTATCAGCTCCCTAATCAGCGCTGTCTTTAAGCCTTCCTGTCCTTTACAACACGTCTCCTCTGTGGTGTGATCTCACTAAGAGATGTAGCTTATTAGTGAGGTCACGTTACTGAACCCAATCAATGAATCACTGTACATGTAACTGCTACTGTGACTGAACAGTGAATTAAACAATCAGTGATTTGGATGTAGACAACCTCATGACATTTGATTTCATTAAAGCAGCTGCTGCACACCTGACACCTCTAGGATCCCACTAATGTCAAGTGGGGAAATAATAATTCAAATTAGTCAAATGTAGAGAGACAACAAACTGAAGCAAACCTAAACTTTGATAAGCAAGTAGGCTGTACTTATCAAAAAGTACCTGATTCAAATTCTGCAAGTTAAATTAATTGTTGCTTGTTATGGAAAGCATGATATATTCAAAATAAATTAAATAAAAAACATTCACAGATCTAATTTGATATGTGTGATTTTCCAAACTCTGGACATTTCAAGGTAATTAAAAACTGTTAAAAGCATGCAGTCACCTGTCAGATCCAACGTGACTGTATCCTCCTTATGCCAGACCCACATACAAATATCAAAAAAGATATCTAAATCACTGAATTTATTAGAAAGGAAAAAGTATACGCAGATACAAATTAAAAAAAGAAGTAAAAACACTTAACAAGATGTGTTTGTGTGTGTTGTCTGTGTTTATTTAGTCATTACAAAAGACACATATTTCAAAGGAATGCTCCAAAATGTTGTAATCTTACATTTACAGAAATGATTTGATAATAATTATTTTAAATATATATAGATAAACAAGTCTTAATGGGCCTTGAATAAGGCCCTCATTCAAAACATCATCCTGATTACCCTTATTTCTTATCAGAGACTCACAGGCCTTTAGTCTGTAAATATGCTTTGGTAAAATTTTATCCAAATCCTGGATAAGATTAATTAATGTAGACTATTAATTATTATTAGTCTTTGTGTAACGGGTACAGAACCTCGAATCTGTCCAATGAACAATGAACATGGAAATACACATTTGTCAACAACAATCTCCATCAAAGCGCTGGGGTGATGAGTAAAACAATGGTGGGAGCAGTGCTACTTGTTTTCGTTAACGGATCAATAAACATTAACTACAGTAAAGAAGTCAAACTGAGAAGGAGGCCTATGTTTTCAATAAGCATTGGGCACTTTTTCCGAAAAGACCTTAAGGGCTGATTAATAATGGTATGTAATAGAGAGAAAAACAAATGCAACGTTCCCTCCTTAACCTCCACTTCAAACATCTCTCCGTTTATCTCTACTCTGCAAACACCGCTCTGCGGGCTTAATTGTGTCAGGTGGACTCATACTGTTCAATACAATTACATTTGTATCGTCAAAAATACTTACAGAGCGGTGTGTTTTATCCGCAGTGTTGAGACAGTGAGAAGCTCACACAGGACAATGCGCTGCAAACATAAACGCCTCTTGCAGAAAGTCTTTATCAGACGTGCGCGCTCTCTTTTGGTCTCTCCGCCAGACCATTGCTGTGGAATAAAGCAGGCATGCCAAAAAAAAAAAAAAACACGAGTGGCCTTACACAGATGGGAAATAAAGGAAACAATCACGCAACTCCAGCCGATAATGAATAGAAGCCAGACAAGCTCCGCATATTAACATAATTGCATAGAAACGAGGGGAGCAGAGAGAGTATTTAAAGGCGCAGCAACACACCGCATGTCCCTCCATCGGCAGCCTGTCTGGAGAACACACACAATATGAATATTCAAATTATAATCGAAGAAAATGGACAGTCGATTCTATTGACATTAAATATGTGTTATAAAGGTGCAGTATCTACTTTGCTCTTAAACCTCAACTCAAATATCTTTTAAAATACTAGAGGTAGTTCATTAAAAACTGAAAAAATATTTTAAAAAACACACCCAAACAGCTATAGTTATAGCCTTCAGCCAGGGCTGTAGAACAGACATAAGTCATTAGTCCATGTCCCCCCAATGCACCCAGCATCCAACCCACCTGCCCTGAAACAATCAAAGTTGTATAATGATTTGTCAACAGTTCATTTTATGAAACATAAAAAACGAAAATATTTTGAAAAGCTGTCTTGCCAGGTTTTAAATTCTGGTGAGGAAAAACAGAAGACTTTATTTATTGTTGACTCAAAGGTACACAATTGTCATTCAAGTTTGAAAATACTGAAAACAGCCTACAAAAACCCAAAGTGTACATTTTTTTGTAGAATGTAATTTCCCACAGGTTGGTACAAAAATGTAACATTTCCAGAAATAATTGAAGTAGCGACATTCGTGCTTTGAATTGCTTTTTTAAATAATTTGTCGTCATATAATTCGAAATAATCAAATGTTGCACAAAGAGACTGTTAATACTGTGCAGTTATAGACTATTGAGATACAATCAGTCAAAGCTCATCCCTGTTCTCTCCAGAGTTTCATATTGTGACTTATAATGCTGTTGTCCACGTGCTTCCTAAATTGTACGTAACAATCTGTGTTTAAATGTTGCTGTTTTCTTTTCATGACAAAGGCAAGTATTGGTTTTTATAGTCTCTACGCCACGGCTTGAAAAATAAAAGGGTGACTGTTCCTTTATTAGACACCAAGCTGTAATTAGACAAGCAGCTGGGGGGAGGGGCAGGTGTGAAGCTGGGTGATAATATGAGCTCATACAGCAAAACACTGTGTGACCACATGTGTTAGTCAGCCTTATTAGTTTGTTAAAAAATGGTTTTATTCTAAGATTCAAGCATTTCTGTGTGTAGATGACTCAGTTATACATCAGTACTTGTGCATCGATGCACAAGTACTGATGTCTGTAATACTACTGATAAAAATTATTTCATACAAAATTGAGGAACTTACTGAAAATTATTTTTGAAAAAAAGGATTTATGAGCCAATAATAAATAAGTGAATCAATAAGTCACCTACAGGTAATATGCATCATGTAATATACACATGTAAACACAAACAAACCTCCCCTGATACATAAACACAGTGCAGCCCTCTCACACACTGCATGTCGGTGCTGTCTACTGCAGCATCAAGTGACCTGTTGGTAAACAGCAGCCAGCGTCCACATTATCATTCTGATCCCGGCTTCACTACACAATTGCTGCTTTGTGAAAGGAGCACTTGACAAAGGTCCTCCATTTCTTTTGCCTAACGTTGTATATGTGAAAGGGCGCTGCAGTAAACCCCGGGCAGTGAGGTGGGAACATCGTGTTAGACCAGACAGTGCAGATGCCTGCATTAGCGCTGCAGCCATGTCTCCTGGAAAAGTTACTCCTTTGTCTTCCTGCCTCTTTATGTCTGCGAGTGACTCTCTCACCGTCAGTGTATTGGTGTGTGTTCTCATGCCAGCGTTAATGAAAAAGAATAAGGTGTCAAATGTGTATCCTACTTGATTCATATTAGAGTTAACTCAATAGAGCACATTTTGCTGCTGATTGACGAATATGAAATCTCAAAACAACAAATCATAGGAAACTCACACATAAGACAGCTGTTTAAAACGAAACAGTAAGAAAACAAAAAGAAAATAAACTAATTGTATCCAAAATGGAACCTGGCCATGAGGAGACAATACAACTAAAATGAAATAAAATAAAATAAACTATAAATACCTTATAACAACAGCATAATCTCTGAAATCCAAAGGATTCAACACATTTTGTCACTAACGTTAGAATACACTGAATGGATACTTTTATTGAAGTATGATAAATGTACTATAAAAGCTATCCGTTATTGATTTCCTTTAAAAAAAAAGAGTAAATGCACTAAAAATACTAAACAATTGGCAGCTTTAGAGAAAGACATGTTTCTGAGCCTCATGGCAACAGAGGCTGCAACTGTTATTTTAACACAGAAGGAGACGATATGATACACAGATCAGGCTGTAAAATCAAACCAGCGATAGATAGCAAGAGTGGTGTAGAGCGACGCTTTCATTGGTCTCATCCTTCAAAAGAGCCGTTTTGTTTTCTGTTGTGAAACCTTGCTCTCACCAGAACAAAGCAAGGTGTTACAGAATATGATCCAGGCATCCTGGTCCAAACAGGACAAACAGCCTCATAGCTCAGTACCAGAGTCTGTGTAGAACTGAACGACTGTGAGCTCTCCTGAAGGCAGGACGTTGTATGTTTTATGTCCCTGCAGCCCCACATGGATACTACAGCTGCGATCCTGTCTTAATCTGGGGATAAACGTGATTACCCTGCTATGGCTTGTTCTTGGCTTTGTAACAGCGACAGGGGATCTTTTACAGCTCCCTCTTTTCCCATGGTCGAGTGGGTCTGAGCAGCTAAGACCCCCAATGTGGACCAGTCGCCATTCATCGGCTTTAGGCTGGAGCAAACAAGCACGTCACACCGACCCTGAGGCTGATAGATGGAGATAAACACTGCATGTTGAAAATATTAGGTACATTATTAATGAGCTGCAGCTTCTAACAGTCCTAATCTCAACTGTCTCTGAAGATAATTTAAGAAATCAAAAGATAATGTTTTTGTGCAGAAATACTATTGAGTAGTACAAATACTGTTTTATAACTACAGAATCGGACATGTGATAATATAAGAAGAAACAATAAAGTATTATCATTCTGTTAATATCATCATTGTTATTACATTATGATTATTATTAGTTGCAGAAGTTCTAATAGTTAATATTAAGTGTTAATATACATTAATATTTATTGTATTATAACATTTATATTATTTCTTGATTTCATTATAACTGGACAATTTATAAAAATGCTATTACAATGAAACTTTTCATTTTTATATATTTCACCAAAATAAATGAACTCATTGTCCACTCCAGCCTTTTCTGGAACCTTTTACTGCATAATACTCATGTTAATTTGAACGATCCCAAATCAAGATTTACTCGTAATAAATCATTAGTTAATTGATGACATATACAGCAGATTGTTAACGTTCAACATATAAAAGTGTTGTGGGAACTAAATCGCAGAAGAAAATCTATGGATTTGTTGTTCAGACTGTCAGTCAAGTTCAAGTTCACAGGGGTGGAATGTCTCCACTCTCCATTCACTTCTGTCGTTCCTCCCCCTTAACTCCCCCCTCCTCCTCCCCCCCCCTCCTGTGATCTGCAGTGACTGTCTGGTGTAACTATGACAGAGGGCCTGTGCCGTTGTTATGGCAGCAGGCTGGACGGCCCGGCTATGCACTGGTGAAAAGGACAGCCTGTCAGAGAGAGAGAGAGAGAGACTCAGGTTCTCCCCAACAGCTGGGCACATGCACACACCACAGGAGGGCCGCCC